TTGAGCTGACCTGCTCAAAATGCTCAGCGTAGGCACAGATTATTTGCTCAGTATATGTGCAAGAAGCTTGAAGTGCATGAAGTACACGGAATGTATTGCAGTCTGTTACAGGTTAGGTGCTCCAGGGCTGCTTTATGTCTATCTATTCAAGTGTGTCTCCAGAGCAGCTACATGTCAGACTCAGCGCACATACACATGCCTAAGAAAGCTGGGCATAAACATAGCAGACCTGGTAAATCTTATATTGTGTATATATATCTACTTGCCTCATTCGTGGCATAGAAGAAGCACAGTGCTTTGCTGGTCTGAAGGATTTATTTATCAATACTTGGCATTGCTTTTGGCTGTGTGGTTTGTATTGTTTGTATGCAATTTACCTTAATTTTACCACAAAAATTTTAGGTTTTCGTTCCAACAAATAACAGTGTTAGTAGAATAACTGAACTATGCACGTATTTCCTATCTTAAATATCACTTATTTTTATCTCTGTGGTTTGTTTGTTTTTTTTTAATTATTTGAGCTTTGTGATTCAAGAGAGTATGCTTGAATTTATGAAGCACTTAAGCTTGTGCTTAACTTTAGCCTTGTGCTTATAATCAAGCGCATGTTGCTTGAGGTCTTGTTCGGAATCTAGGTCTTAATTTTCAGTAGACTTATTTATGTGAATGGAAAGGCATATTTTAAGAGGAGAAAAAGTGACAGGTAATCAGCACAAAGGAGAGCTAGTTCCAAAAGCCCTTAGCTCATTTACACGTGAAAGCTGAGCGGCTCTCTCTATTGTCGTAAGGAGAGACGGCAGGCACCCATGCATTTACCTAGGGCAGCATTTCTTATTCTCAAAACTTTATGAAGTTCTATTCTCCCATTGTTTGCCACAAAATCTCCCGAAGCTACAGATATGCCTTTCTTTGTCCCAGGAAATTCCTTTGAAGGTTGAATTGATCTTAAGGTGCTTAGAACCACAGTTTTCTCCTCAGCTGAAAAATGCTCCTCAGGTAGATTCAGGGTGCTGTGAAGAAAAAGCGACATGCATTCCTGCACAGGCAACACCAAAGACTTGCTATACAGGAAACTTACTGCAGACATCCTTGCATTTGCAACTTTCCAACCAGACCATGTGGATTGAATGATTCATCTTTGCTCTCCCAGGGCTCAGAATGTGGTCCTTTATTTCCAGGCAGCAGTTAAAACAGGGTGCTTGATCAGCTCCACTGGTTTCTTTCTGCTCCCAAAACATCTGCTTCTGCTACTTGCTTCCTGATAATTAGATACACAAATAATAGTTAGGAACTGTTTTGGTTGCAGGGATTAGAAATCAAAATTTCAGTACTGAAGTAGGCCGGATTGCATATTACCCATACAAGCTTAATTTAGTTAGCACTTGGTCATGCATTATTTTATATCAGTGCATGGTATTACTTGATGCTTTTTCCTTGAATATTTGCCTAATGAAAAAGGGACTGAAGGACAACTTTATGGGACATCTCTAAGAGTTGCAATATCCCAACTTAAGTGTGCAACTAAAAACAGATAGCATCTCTCTACTTAATTTTGTACATAATAATTATATGCTACAATGAAGCAACTCAGCAGAAGAATAAATGTAAGAATTCCTTTATAAATAAGAAAACTGCCAAAGCTGAAACTGCAGTCAGAATATTAATGAAGGCTGTGCTTCAGAAGAATGTGAGTGATAAATGAGGTATGCTAAAAACAAACAGTAATGTATTGTTTGTGCTTAACGAGGAAAGTAGGAGCAGAAAAGTGCTGCTTAATTATAATGGTGCTGAGTTAATAATGGAGTAGAAATCCTTGCTCCTTCTAATTTGAGCACTTAATTTCTCAGTCTTAATGTTGCAGTAATGCTGTTTCCCAGTATAATTTCCTTACATTTATTTATTTTTAACAACTCAGAAGGAAAACAAGAGAGAGATATTGTGAACCTCCTGTAATGAGATCTCAGGCTACTAACATGCCTTACATTTTCTGTAAAGGTGCTGATTACATTTAGAGTCACCTGAGCAGTGCAATCAGATTAACAGTTTACTCTTCCCTTTAGTGTCATTAAAGTTCTCCAAGTTTAGGAAGTGCATTTGAAAATAATAATAATAATAATAATAATCCCTTGTTTTCTTATATGAACTGTACCTTATACCAAGCATAGCTTCAAAAATAAAAAACAAGTTTTGTCTAGGCACAAACCCCTTTTCCTTCTCCTGTGGGACTCTAAAGGAGCTATTTAAAGCCATGCAATCATACAATTGCTGACTGGGCTGACACAGCAAAATGCTTACTTCATGTTTAAATTCTATTGCAATCCATAGAATTTGTGCTTAAATATGTTGAAAAAGGATGGATTTACACAAGTGTTTTAAAGCAAGCATGTACCAGAGATTTTCGTAAGTGGGCCCATAATACAATGAAGCATTTCAGTATTCAGACTGTAAATGTCAGGTGTAAGGTGACTGACTTCATAAGGGAAATTTTTAGATATAACTTTTATCTATAATCTCAAAGATAAAACAATACAATACTCCGTGGTCTGTGGATTAGCTAATAGTGTAAGTCATGTCTGTTATTTTAAAATACACATGCCAAAATTAAGAATTCTTGCAGCTAAATGTCTGAATGTACATTTTCTACTCTTGAAAATAGTTTACTTTTTTTTAGTCACTGAAGTGTTTAAAGTCAGTAGGTCAGAGCTTTGAATGATATCTAAATAAATACAACCACATATACAGGAACTTAGAAACACATATAGATACCTAACGCCAGTCTCCCACACTGCTGAATTTTCTGTGTCATGGCTTGCTTTTTACTTACTTGTGTGGTGTTTCCCAATAATACAAGACTTGATTATTTTGTGATACTGAATCACTAAATAGGGTCATGTTCTGGTTGGCTCAAGGGCATAAAGCAATTCCTTTTTTTTTTTTAGTTTACCTTCATCTATAAAAAGTCTTTTCTATGTTAGATAAAGTTTCTATTTCTGTTGGTCCTCCCCCTTGCACTTATTAGACATCTTCTGCCCTATGCATAAAACATTTAGATATTCTTATTTTCAAGAGATAAAAGAACATTTACATTCTCAGCCCTCAGTTCAGGTTATCATTTTCCTAATGTGATTAGAGGCTGAAGCATTTCCAGCATGAATGGGATTGCAGGATTCTAGGCAGGTCTTCTGGAGCTCTCTGGGGGGCAGCACCAGGATTTGGAACCCCTGGAGCACCATGGATGAAGAAGAGTGAACAGCTTTCCTGGGAATGAACTGGAGTTGTTGATTATTGAGTAGTCTCAGTCCAAGTGAGCTTTCTAGCACTGGCTCTGAGAGCATTATGAGCATTACTTTAAATGTTCATGTTATCAAGTTGCCAGCTCTCAATATAACCTGATATGCATGCTATGCAACTACTGGCTTGCATTGTAACACCCTACTTGCTGCTACCACCTTTATCCTTTCCCCTTTGCAGAGCAGGGTTTACGGTGCCTGCAGAGCCCTCCTGCATCCACAGAAGTACTTTCGTACCCTTTGCCTTTCAAATGAGAGCACCCTTCCACTTTACGATGTGTTAAACTCTGTGAGGAGGAAAGATGAGGAAAGATGAACATTGATCGGTGCTAGGTGATAACTTAAGGATCCTGTAGGGAAAATCCCATTGTCAGCTGCTGCAGTCTTTCTCCATTTGTCCAAGGTACAGATCCTATCCTCTGGCAGGACTAGATTATTTTGCATGCAGAGAAATAAAGTGGTTGCAAAAAAGGCAGAACACTGGAACTATGGACCTCCCAGATGCCGTAAAAGTCTCCAAATATTATAACAATGTCACAGTATTTTGTCATTGAGCATTTTTTCTTTGATAAGCAGAACTGTGACAAGTAAAGAAAAAAAAATATTGCCCTTTGCTGCAATCTCTTGTGTGAGTTAAGCAGCAGACTGGCAATTCTTGGCTGAAAGGCAGAACTGAGCTTCAAGTGTTACATAGCACTCTTGTGTCTTTGAGAACAAGAAGTGCTTGAGGTAGTTCAGGACTTGATGGATTTCTGGAAATCTCTGAGACAACCTTTGCATTGACTTCCTGATCCCAGTGAGTAATCCTGCTTCTGTTGCCATTCTCACTTCCCCAGAGGAGGGGGCACAGAATTTTGGCATGTGTGTGGCCATAGTGCAAGGATATAGGTAGGTAGTGACAGGCTCTGGTGACCTGTGTAGTAAGCACGGTATGGCAAAGCGGGTCAAGTATCATTTGTAACAGTGAAATGAAACTTTGCTGATCTGCATATAGATGCAATAATCAGAAAACAAGACGTGCAACTTTTGAAATGTCTTTTGAAAAATGAAACTAATATAGCATGTGAGAAGCCTGCCAAGACGTAGAGCAGCATGGTGTTTTTAGTCTGATCTGCAAACGCTGCCATTCTGAAACTACATCACCTCATCAAAGGGAGAAAGATGTACAAATTGCCTAATGCTGCTAAAGATAAGCGAGAGCTGCTCAGCCCCTGTCCACATTTTAAGTAAGCCGACAGAATGGTGCATAGTAGGCAGGCATGTCGAATATGCTGTGCCACAACTGGTGCCTTACTATAAGCATTATACCAGGCGTGCTAAATATGGAAACGCCGCTTATAGCCGGGAGCACCCACCCGGCTCCCCTTAGCATGCCCTGCGCCTGCCTCTCTCCCCCAGCCCGCCTGCCTGGCTCGCCCAGCCCAGCAGGCCACGGCCCCGGCACCCAGGACAAGGGCTGCCAAAATAGCCCCGCGGGACTGCTGTGCGTGGGCGCGGCAGAAACCACGTTGCGAGCGAGAGCATCAGTGCTATTTTAGAAACATTTTTTTGTTTTTCTTGCTTCTCAGCGAATGCTGCCGGGGGAGGGGAGGAGAAAGGAAGAGAGGGGAGGGCAGGGCGCGAGGAGTGCTTGTGCCCTGTTGCTCGCCCACCCACCGGCGCTCCTCCTCACAGAAATAGGCTTGGCAGCAGGAAAGGGTTAATTACGCTCGAGGACGAGGGAGGATTGCAGTTTGAAAGACAGCGACTGGACAGCTGTGTTTGCTGTGGTATTTTTAAATGCATTAATGCAGGCTCCAATCACCCGGCTGCGCTTGACCTATTTTTGGCTCAGGCCAGCCATTGTTCTATTTCTGCCGCCTCTGGGCCACGCTGTTGTTGATTCAAATGCAAATGAGTTGTCACTGCCCAGGCCAACTCCAGCAGCGGGACCTGGGAACGGCTGCGGGACAGCAGTGCGGCGGGGGGACCGCAGCCGGACCCCGGGGATCGGTTCCCGTTGGGTGCTTGTGCTTAGTGTGAAGCTGTGTTTCCCCACGCACACTGCCAGAAAGCACCGAGATACTTCTTTGATTCTTCATCCACCTGCTGTTGGCTCCCAGAGCACAACTGGTGAAACTCTGAGGTGCACAGCCCAGCAGGCGCTTCTTGCCCTCCCACTGCTGTGTAAAGTGGATTTTGCCTTTTCTCTCCTAATAGATACTTGTACAAATGCTTAAACACTGCTAATTACTGAAGTGTACTGTCTGACGAGTCCGGCTGGAGGAGGTAGGACGGCAGAGGGTCGTGGCTGACTCCCCTGTGCAAGTGCCGTGATGAATCTCTCGTGTAGCTGAAGTGCAGACTGGTTGGAATATGCTGCAGACAATTTACGAGAGTGAATCGTGTTTTTCCTCAGATGGGGTTTCTGGACGTGAACAGCTCTTGGCTCAGCAAAGAATGCACAGTATGATCAGCTCAGGTAAGAGACAGCTCAGCACCTCAGCCTTGCCTGCCTACATTGTGACTTACTGAGAAAATACAGCCCATCACAGCAAGAAAACACCCCTCCTTTAAAGAACTGATGTATTTTTGTGGGCTTTATGTAAGTTGTTAAATAATTCTCTCTTATCACAGTATGTTAGATACTAACTATCGCGTTTGTGGGGAGTTTGTCTCCTTCAGCCTGCTACTTTCCAGCAAGAGCAAAATGCTAACAACTGAAATATAGTTGGCATTTTGTTGGGTTTTTTTTTCCCATTTATTTTGTTTTGTGAGTGCAAAATGGGGTTTGTAGTATGAGCTTATTCACAGAGAGAATTTCAGCAGCAGCCTGTATCAGAAAGAGCTGCCATTACAGCCCATCACAGTTCTTTTCCTATGTGTTTTTGTAAACAGGATTTGGTCTTGTGAGTTTCCTTTCCTCAGGTTTACATGCAGAGAGATTTTTATGTTAATCCTGTTCTGTTTTCATTGTTAGGTTACTTTAACAAGAATGCTCTTAAAGCAAGACAGTCTCTTCAATATGCATGGCTTATCTTGCTATTTAGAAAATATTTTGGAACCTGGCAATAGTCAGGTAATGAGTCACTGAAATGTAAATTGGATGCATTTTTAATGAAGGTATTTCAAAGCTGATCTTATGGAACACTGGATGTTTCTGCATGTATTTGTATCTCTCCTTGGATTTTGTGATTTCTCTGTTAGCTGTGTTTGAGACATGAGGGTAATGTCTTAATGATGAATTAAGCCAAAATAATTGTAGCCATTCAGATGAAGCTTCATTTTGAAGAGGCTAAAAAAGTCGAAATTTCAGGTTACTTTTTACTCTACTGTGAATTAGCTGCTCTATATCTTTTCAGTCCTAGATTTCTCACTTTGTTTTTCGTAAAGTTGTCTTTATAGACAGCCTGTAAGTAGAATGTAATGTGAATTTTTACACGTATGATAGTCTTAGTTTATTGCCCTTTTCTTCTTCCCTTTTTCATATCTATTTTTAGCAAAATTTGCAGTGTTTCCCACCTTGTAAGCACAAATACACATGTAGATCACAGATCTCTTCAGAAATTCCCTGTTTTGGTACACCTGTTGAGCTCATGTTTCTTTGCTTCTTCTAAAAAAATGTTCATTTTCCTGCTTTACAGATGGAGAACTTAAACTTCTACTGTTTCTTTATTAAATAAAGAGCAGGCTTATGGTTTCAGATATTAAACTGTGAATGATTGTGTCAAGTGGCAACATTTTTCTTGTTAGGAAAGTATTTAATGTTTTTAAACTTTATTATTAGTATTACTCAGTACAGAAAGTCATAAAATCTCATAATAACTAAGGAGATGAAAGAATGAAAGAGTGAGAAATTGAAGAGGTATTAAGTGCACATTAAATTAATTGTAAATATGTAAAGGGAATGAGCAGTTCAAACTTGTGATGTTTAACATCGGGGATTTTTCTCTTCCTTTATAAAGCTGCTGGGTTGATTTGTTTCTTTATGGATGTCTCAAAGAATTTATGGTTTCTTTATCTCCTTAAAATACATTTTGAACACCAATTGCAGCTCCTTTGTCAAGGACAAGAATCAGGTGAAAGAGTTGTTTACAAATATGGGCAATGAAGTTCTACCTATGAAAGTGGAAAAAAAGCAGAATGTTCTCTGAAAGTGTTGCATTTCTGCAAACTTTTATGTTGACTTACTGTTCAAGAATGATTGCGTTTCCTGATCAGCTCAGCAAGTGTCCAGTGCTTTTATACTGGTCAGAGAGATAAGACCCACTGCTTCACCTTCCCTTCTATTTTTTTTTTTTTAAATAGTGTCTCAAGTTGAAATTATCTGTATGCAAGTGCAAATCTATTCTTTTTAAGTCCACTGTGCTAACTTGTAACCACCAAGTAATGTTGTTCATGTAATATCAATTTTCTCATTTCAAACACAAGAAAAGGAGGTAATTTTCTATATGTTTATAGCTCTGAGTTTTTCCTTGGTGGAGACAAGAATGTCTTGTAACATTTGATTTTTAGCTGATATTACCTTAGGCCTCTGTAACATATATAATTTCCTCTGTAGCACCAAGTAAAATAGTGGGGTTTTTTTGTTGTTTTTTTTTGTTGTTTTTTTGTTTTGTTTTGTTGTTTTTTTTTAACACAGTCAAGAAAATCGTCGAGGTAAAAGATGTTTAAATATATACTCTGTAAAGCACAAAATGTTCTACAGTGTTTCTGTTGGCCTTTGAGATACACAGCGAGACCACAAGTAGTTGATACTGTACAGAGTCTGTAGTTTAATTCATGTCTGATGAGACCACAAAGTCTGGTGTTGCTGTCAGTTACCTTCAGTTCCTTTGAGATCAGAGTCTTACAGAATCAGTCTTGATAACTTTTGATGCACTGTCTCTATGCTGCATGCATACAGAGGAGAAAGGAGTAACCAGATCATAACTACGTGGTCTAGTGTTTGTAGTAACTAAAACCAGTCACCTGAATTTTGCTAAGAGCACTCACTCCTTACTTAAAAGTTATCTTCACTTCATGCACTGCACAGATTAAAAAGTTGTGCATATTTCGGAAAAAAAAACACAGATACCTGCACATTTACAACATGCATTTTTAATATTCTTGAAGTCTTGGAATAAGCACAACTTATGTTGTCAGTGGGTATTTAACTTTGCTAGTTCCCAGGTGCATGTATTACACAACTCTAACTGGAGTCATCCCCAAAGAGGACCTATGCAGTGGCCACTGGAAACATTTTTGCAAACCAAAATGTCTAAGGTATTTCTGACAATAGCAGGCATACCAAATGCTTCTGTCATGTGAAAGCAGTTCTTCTGGTATTCCCTCAATTGCTGCTTTGCCTGTCTGTCTCCATCCCTGCTTGTAAATCATACTATGAATGAGATTATCTGGATAGTTACCAATCAAAAGTCTAATTATGAATGGAGCAATCTAGATAGGCACTGACTCAAGAAGCTGTGTAATTTGCAAACACCTACACCTTATTGCAGAGAGCTGTTTCAGCTATCTTGAGAAGACTGAACTAGATATTCCCATATGGTACTGTTGCTCTGAAATGCAGCAGTATGTACCATGCATCTTTATTTGAGAAAATGATGCTTATCCATTCTTATTTGATACCATAATTATCTTTGTTTCAAGATTTAAAAAAAAAAAATCAAATAAAAAACAACGTGAGTCTAAGTTTCTTATTTAGATAGTATTATTTACCTATGATATTTCTTTAATTTTACCCCCAAAGTCACAACTGCCATACGTGCAATGCCATAACAGGTTCTAGCATTCAGGTCTCCCTTTCCACCACAATATGATTCATAAACTATAACCCCTTGAAAAAAAAGCCTTTGGTCCAGCAGGAATGATTCCTTGACAGGAATCATTCACATGTAACAAATAAATTACTAATTCAGTGCTACATTAATCAAACATATTTCACTTCCATGAAGGAGAATGAACGACCTACCCATCCACGGCATCTGCAGATCTGTGACTTTAAGGAGTGATGCCAACATTATTAACCTCTGGTGATTAAACATACTGTGATGTTTTTCCAAAGGGTATGGTTGCTTCTTTCACCGTATTTTGTGAATGTACCCTTGCATTGGCCTTTCTAAATTCCACCTCAACTTTTATTGGGTAAGACATGCTCTGCCTCTTGCCCAAAGCAGCAGTGTTGAAAAATCAAGAGTTCAAGGAGATCTTGAGCTTAAAGCCTTGGCTTGTCACTAGCTGACAGGTGACCTGAGTGAGTTATATAATCCTGCTGACGTCAGCTTCCTCTTCTGTGAAATGGGGAAAATAATACCTGTCAGGCTCAGAAATCTTTGGAACAAAATGGTTCTAAAGGGAATATAACAATTCAGAGTGATTAATTTGATTGACTGTCCCTGGAGGTGCTCAGGACCAGGATGGATGGGGCCCTGGGCAACCTGGCCTAGTACCAGACCTGGAGGTTGGTGGCCCTGCCTGTGGCAGGAGGATTGGAACTTGATGATGCTTGGGGTCCATTCCAACCTAAACCCATTCTGTGACTCAGTCAAGATACACTCTTGCAAGATACTTGTGATTTCACAAATGGAGTAAGTTAATGTAGTTGTGGTATTTTATTCTCTGCACTGACCAGAAAATTCAAGCTGTGTCTCTTGAGTATAAATGGCGGAATTGGTGCTTGTGAGCATCATGTTATATGTGAGCTGGTGGGTCCTTTTTAGCTGTCTTCCCTCAGTAAGCCATGTTGTACAAAATTTATCCTATGCGTTGCATCTGTGTGTGATGGCATAACCACACATGCATGTTTGTACATGTGTATTTATATTGCCAACAGGAAATATTATTTGATATTTGTTGGCCCTTTATTTCTGGCCAAACAAAACTGTCACCTGCTCAACTGGTCTCATGGAGAGATTGCAACAAGTAAATTCATTTAAAGGTTGGTTTTTGTTTTGGTTTGGTTTTTTTGAGGCACATGAAAATCAAAAATCTTGGAATATTTGCATTTTTGAATCCGGGAGTTTTATATTTACAGATAAAACTTGTCTTACATATGTGTTATCTCAGGCAATAATTCTTTGAAGTGAGGAAGGATAACAGAGAACTATGTTTTACTTTATGATTCTCTTTAGAGTAATGAAAAAATGATGTGAAACAGCTCAATTCAGGGAAGTTCTAGGCAGCAGTCAGGAGAGGCTGTTTTCAGTACCTCTCAAAAGCCAGGCAGAAAAAGAGCTAGTTCTTCATAGGAGCTGAAGTATTTGGATTCTTTGTCATCGGAGAGTACGGCTTAGCCTTAACAATCAAGGCTATGAGAAGGGCAGTGTAGACCTTGCCTGGTGATGGGTTTCACTGACTTTGGGTGAAGGTATTGCTCAATCACATGTGCTGGACAAGGCACTGATTATGAATTCAGTTGAACAAAAAATGTGGTAAGGTGAAATTAAGCTGTTTTTTCTTATATGTGTTATTTGGGAAGACACT